GCCTCTGTCCCCAGGAACTGGGCCTTCTCCTCGCTCGGCCCTGCTGCTTCCTCCAGGTGGCCTCCCAGGCAGCCCCACGGGGCCCTGGGCACCTGTTCTAACTAACTCACGGGGATTGCGCCTCACAGACCACCTTCCGCAGGACTTGTGGTGGGAGGGACCAGGTGGGACGTTTCTTTTCTCCCACCTGCACAGGAAGGGACGATGCCCCAGAAAGGCACCCGTGATGTGCCAGCTCAGGGCCACACTCCTCACACCCGTCCCGACCATCCATAGGCAGGTGGCTCTGTCCCACCCCACGGAGGCCGTTCTGGGACCTGGTGGCTGGCTGGGGCTCCGCTCTGTCCACCCCAGAGGCCCTGCCCCCTGACGCCTGTGGAGGGAAGGGCTGGTGGGGGCTCACTCCTGGAGGTGGGCGGGCTGGGGGTCCCAGAGCTGACCATGGGACTGAGCCCACTCCCTGCTCCTGAGCTCCACTCCCACCTTCCCAGGGGCTGCAGACCCTCCTTGGAAGGAGGGAGGGTCCTTTCCCTCCCTCTGCCCACCTGTCCCCTCCTGGGGGCTGGCCCCGTTCCCTGATAATTCCTATTCTGGGGAGTGTATATACCATGCCCTCCCTTCTCCTGGCCCTGTGGAGAAATGTCTCCTCCCCAGCCGGAAAGCCTGCCCTAGGTGACCACAGGGGTCTGGAGCCCCAGGTGTCGCCAGCTTCTAACCCCAGGCGTCTGTCCCTCTGCGCAGTTCACTGTGGGCACCTGAGGAGGGGGCGGTGGGGGCGGGAGTGGATCAGCCCCACCTGCCACCCCTGCCTGCTACAGCCCTCCCACCACCCTCCCCCCTCCCCAACCCCCGTGGCCCACCTGCCCACCACAGCTGTCGTCAGAGAAAGGCGCCAGCAGAGGCGGGAAAGGGCTCAAGGAGGGAGGGGGGAGGCGCCGGCTGCCAGGACCAGCAGGAAGGTTTCAGACCCTTGCAGGACCAATGGGAGGGAGCCCCACAGACTCCGCAGGGGAGACTGGGGAGGCGTGGCGGAGGGAGGAGAGCCGGCCTGGCAACGCCTGCTGTCTCCCCTTTTCTCACATCGTCTCCCCTTTTCTCGCATCGTCAGAGCTGGGAGGGGCTCCCTCGAAAAGCCCTGCCCTCCTCTTGTCACAGGAGACACCCAGACTCAGAGAGGACACCGTGGCCCAAAGCCAGGCCCAGCGCGGGGATGGGAGATGGGCGGGAAGCATTCCTGCCTCTGAGGCATGGTCCCCCTGCCTGCCGCGACACCACGACCGCTCGTGATGGAGGGCTGCATCCTGTCCACGCTCCTCCCGGACAGCGGACAGCGGGGGCCTCCAGGGCCAGGGGAGACCTCCTGAGGCCAGTGACCGGCAGGCTTCTCTCAGCTCTCCTCTTACAGGAGGTAGGGGGCCTATTTTAGAGGTCCTGTGTGTGTGTGAGACCCCAGGGGTCTGCAGGGACCACCAGAACCCAGGCTACCACCCAGTGTGAGAGCTCCACCCGCAGGACCCCCAGGGTGGGCCTGGGGCGTCAGGTCCTTCCTTGACCCCCCTGTTCCAGTCCCTGAGGGAACAGCTTTCTTAAACTGGAGCCCCACAACAGTAACGGGAGCGGGGGGTGCCCAGAGCCTGGGGGTGGGGGACAGGCACCCATCAGCAGAGAAAGAGCCGGCCAGGGCGAGCACCGAGCACAGTGGGCACCTGCAGGAGAGTGCGCGATGGGGCGCACCTGTGTGCCAGCCTTGATACCCGGGCCTGCATCCTGAGTCAGGCCCACAGGGCTGGTGGATCCTGAGAACATTCGACTCCACAACTGCTTTCTTGACCGAGGCCGGACCTGGGAACCTGGAGCCCACTGCCCCCGAGCCTGAGGCTCTCCCTGAGTGACGTGGACGTGCCGGTGGCCATGGGGGTGGAGGACGAGGCACTCAGAAGCCCCCCGGCATCACCACCAAGCCGGGCCCAGGTCCCCACCCTCAGCAGTACAGCCTCCTCCAGGGGCTGCCTCCTGGCCGGAGGGGCGCCCAGCTCAGCTCTGGGAGCCTCCGTGCCTGCACCCCGGGCTCCAGGCCTCGACTCAGTGGGCAGAGGCCCTTGTGCAAGGCAGCTGGGCACTGGGGCTCTGCAGCCAGCTGCCCGAGATGTTCTCTGAGCCTCTGTCTCTGGCCCTGGGCTCTGTCCACCTGCGTGAGGGTTAGGGGTGGCCTACGGGCAAGCTCACCGCATGGTGCCCAGCCAGGGGGCCCGGTCCCCCTACCCCCCCGCCGAGACCAGCGTGGTTCCAGGGAATTCCCACCTCCGAGAACTGAGCTTTGCACTCAGGTATTTCATGCATGACTTTTACTAGGAGGCGGGTTGTTACCTGACAGATTCAGCTCTCTTGTTGTCTACAGACGTGGGAGGATCCACCCTCATTACCCCACGGCTGGTGAGAGACGTGTACCCCCATCCCCAGCCCAGACATGCTCAGCACTGGGCATCCTCCCAGTGGGAGCCCATTGCACCCTGCAGGAACCTGGGACTGGACCCTCTGCCTCCCGGCGCCCAGGACCCACTCTGGACCCTGGGTCTGTGGGGTCTCCGAGGCCCTCAGCCCTGGGGGGTGGGGGGAAGTAAGCTGGGCAGTGGCTTCCGGAACTCCAAAGACAGACCTCTTAGAGACGGTACTCAGGGATCCTCTCCCTGGAGCCTGGAGGCAGCTCCGGACCCTCCACAGAGAGTTTGTGAGAGCCTGAGACAATTAAATTTTTGGTGGTAATGTAAACGCCTGACATGAAGCTTTTGGTCATCCGGGTGTCCATTTCACAGGTATCCATCTCAACAAACATGTTGCCAGCTGGATGACACAGCTACTAGCAAAACAACCAGATAGGGAGCCAGGCCGCCCACCCCACGAGGTTCCCCTCTAGCAAGCGCTGGGCGACCCAGATAACTGACGGCTCCAGCGACTCTGCTTTTCCCTCCGAGATTTAGTTTCCCTCTTATGTTTTAAATCCATCAATAAAGATGAACCCGAGAAACCCTAGGCCCCCTACCCCGACCCCAACAGAGCCAGAACCCCAGGTCCGTGTGTGCACTCTCTCTCTCTACCCGCGACCTCGCTGTGTGGCCCCAGGTGTGCCACGTGCCCCCAGGACCTGTGAGTAAAAACCTCGTTCCTCAAAGTTCCCCGCTGGGTGTTGCTGGGCGTCCTGCAACCACAATAAGAACCACAAGGGCCGGTCGGGCTGCAGCGCGGCTCCTGCAGGTAGTCTGGGCCCCGGTGAGGCGTTCCCAGCCAACAGCATCACTGTCATAGGCTGAGACCAACTCAGGACAGTGGGGGACACTGAAGTCCAGGAGGGGGGCCTGAAAGGTGAGAGGTTGGGACTGATGGCCCCTGGGGAGCAGTTGGCAGAACAGAGAACATTCTAAAGGGAGAGGATGACACTGTCCAGCCCTGTCCCAGCACCTGCCTCAGTTTCCCCACCTGTAAAGTGGGGATATTACAGGTGCTAAATGCAGGCGGACTGTGTCCACTGTGACAGTCTCCTGAGCAGAGGCAGGAGGCCAGGGCCAGGCAGTCTGATGCCTCAGATCCAGTCTCAGGGGCTCCTCAGAGGAGCGGACATCACGGGGAGCTCACTGCCCACCAGACCCTCACCCCACTCAGGGCTGTGACTGCACAAGCAGATGCTCTCCCCTAGTCCCACATGGGCTGGCGGGTCCTGCACCAGCCCAGCATCCGAGATGGAGACCGAACGGAGGAGACGGAGACCCTCCTGCCTCCCCTCAACCCCGCTTCACCTGGCTCATTCACAGACTCGAGCCCCACGGGCCCACAATTCTCTGGATGCTCAAGGTGCCTCAGACAGGTGGGTGCTGGGTGAGGGCTCCAACTTCTGGAGGGGGTGCTGTAGGGAGGGGGCCGGGCTCAGTGCCCTCTTGGCCTCCAGAGTTGCCAGCACCATCACCCCCGGCCCCCCAGCCCCCGGCCTGGAGACGAGATGCTCTCAGCCCGGTGCAGGGGGAGGCCAGCAGCCGGCACAGCTGCTGAGCCGAGAGCCAGCAAAGCCAGTGCCCCGACGGGACCGCCATTTCCGACATGTCCCCTCACGTGCCTAGCGAAGTTCCCTCCAGGAGCCCCACCTGAGGGAGCCCTGGGCAGCAAGTCTCATAGGAGGGACCGAGCAGCCCGGGGGTCCGGCGGGGGGTGTCCCAAGGAGGTGACCGCAGGGTGGGGGCGCTGAGGACAGCAGGCATTGCTGGGTCCTCACACCCCCTTCTTGTGTCCCACCTGCCACCCGCCTCCTGGCACACCAGGACCTGGCAATAGTTGTCCAGAGAGAAAGGCCAGGACACAGCTGCCACCCAGTTACCACAGCCCTGCCTTCTTGCCAAGAGGAATGTCCAGTGTGTCAGGACCTGAGACCCCACAGGGCTGGCAGGGTGTCGGGGGCCTCAATTGCCCCTGCATGCCCCCATCCAGTCCCCTCCTTCTGGGAACAGCATCTTGATCTTCCTTTGGGGCCGTCTTCTGCATGACTCAGTCCCTGTGGTGCACAGAGCCCACTCCACTCCATTCCATCCTGACCCTGTTCCAGGGGACCCAGGCTGATCAGAGGCTCAGAGATGGGCACATGACCACATTCAGACCAATGAGGGGTCCAGCCCCACAGGGAGGGAGGTGCTGGTGGAGCCTTTACCCTTCACCACAAAAGGAGAGGGTGCCTAAGACAAAGCCACCATGGGGAAAGCAGGGCAAAAGACAGAGAGGCAGCCACTGGAACACCTAGATCCAGCCATGCCTAAAGGCCTTCCTATACCTGGATCCAGAGATGCCTGAATCCACGAGCCGATACATTTTCTACTTTGCAATTTGAAATGTCCAGACAAAACCCACAGAGGAAGCTGTACATCTGAGACCCTGTTTCTGGTTCTGTGGAGTCCCAAGACAGGACAGTCCACATTTACTGCCTCCACCCTGAGTCCTCCGCAAACGGCAGCCCCACTTACCATGACAGATGTGGTCATGCCCTGCAGGTGGAAGACATCCATGCTGGCCTCTGTGCCACCCACCACCTCACGGCTCCCCCGGCTCGACTGGGGAAGGTCAAAGTAGGTGCTGTCTGGCTCCCTGGGAAGAGGGGACAGAGCCGTCAGCCCCAGGCTGCCCTGGCCCAGAGCTCGGGGTGGGGCCATGGCTCCTGTGGGGGCCTACCTCTCCTGCCCCCAAGGAGTCCTTGGGTCCTTTGTATCCTCTGCCCCTTCCTGCTGACCCTCAGCTCCCACATCCTCCCGCCTCCCCCTCCTCCTCTGCTGGACTCTCCAGGGCTGGGTGAGCACCAGGGAGTTGTGGCCACATGTGGGCTCTGGCCCCTGGACCTGTCCTGGGCCCTGGCCCTCTGGAAGGCTGGCCAGTGGAAACAGCTCAGACTTTGGGCCCCAGGTCCCCAGGGGAAGGCCCAAGGCAGCAGCTCCCCCTGCCTACCCCTCTCGCCTACCCCTGCCCCTGAGCTGGGCAGGTGAGGTGGCCGAGGCTAGCCCAAGGCCAGCCTGGGCTGCTCAGAGGAAATACTCACAGAGAGCTCCAGAGGTGCTCGAACGTGGCCCCCTCGTCGGTGGCGGTGGACTGGGACATCTTCCCCACACCCGGCCCGGCGGCAGCTGGCTCTGCCAGGAGGAAAGGGCAACATGAGTGCTTTGGGAAGGGGTGCTCCGTGCTCCTCCAGCATCCCGGGGGGCGGGCAGGACCGACCCCCGATGACCATGTGGGGACATCCCGGAGCACCGGCAGGCGCTCGCCCTTCATGCGCCCCCTCATTTCATCCTGCCGGTTCCCAGGCGGGAAACTGAGGCCCTGGTGGGTGGGCAGGAGCAGGCCTTGCAGACGGCAAGCCTGGCTTCTGATCCAGGCTCGGGGGCAGTGACCAGGCCGTCCCACCGTGGAGGGAGGGCCAGGGAGACCACTGCCCCACGCAGGCGGAGGTGACGTCTCCCCTGGGCCCGCCTCCGCGTCCTTGGCGCAAGGCTGTGGGAATCAGCTTGGCCACCGCCTGGCAGTGCCCAAGCGGGCAGGCCCGGACCTGCCCACGGCTGTCGGGGAGGGAGGGCGCGCCCGCAATCTGTCGCTTTGTCTCTCCCCAGGCAGGCCGGCACTGACAGAGGCCTGTGACACTCTCCCGGGGCCGCCACGTGCCATGCTGCCCATCCCTGGAGCAGTGGCTCGAGCAGGGAGGGCCACCGCAGGAGCTGGGCAGGGTATGGGCGAAGGGAGGCCCAAGGGCAAAGGTGGGGCCAAGCGAGGATGGCCTGAGACAAGCAGCTTAGAAAGCACTCACCACAAACCAATTCTCTTGCAGGCTCATAGACCACTCCACTCACTTTTCAGGAGACTGAGGCTCAGAGAGGTTAAGTGACCTGCTGGGGTCACACAGTGCAGCTACAAGTGCAGGAATGACTAAACGGTTTTCTCAGAATTGGAAATTAACTTAGTTGCTGCCACCCCAACACAATCCACAAGGGTTCTAACAAGGCGCTGGCCAGTGTTCACTTGCATACCTCCTGTGCTAGGGAGGTCACTCCCATCATGGGCTGGGCTGTGCAAAACCCAGTGGAGCCGAGTGTTGGGCATGGAGCTGGCCACTTGGTAATTCAGAATGGGGTGAACTTGGTAAGAAGCAGAATAGCACGGGCTGCCTGGCTGGGCAGACACCTGTCCTCACGCGTTCCCCATGGCCGGTTCTTTTTGGGTGAGCAGGCGTCAGTCAGGGCCGCTTATTGGGGTGCCAACACGAGACTCAATAGGCCGGGCCATTTAATCCACTCCCTTCATTTTGCTGATGGACTATCTAAGTCCAGAGATGGAAAACAACCTGGCTAACATCATACAGCAAGTGAATGACAAGATCCTGTCTCTTTCGTGGCAGCACCATTCACAATAGCCAAAAGGTGGGAACGGCCCAAAGGTGCACCAGGGAACAATGGACACACACATCGTAGTCAGCCCATGCAACAGAATACGAAGGAATGAAGCGCTGACCACCACCCAGCATTTGAGGAGACAGTCAGCACTGGGAATCTCCCGGGGGGCTGAGGGCCCGATGCCCCCTCTCCTCCCCGGTTCCCGCAGAGCCTCCCACAGGAAAAGCTGGGAGGTGGGAGGCGAGGGCCTCAATCAGCGCCTCCCACTTCCACATACTCCCCTGCTTCCCCCGGGCTGCTGGTCTCAGAAGCCCTGCACCCCGCCAGGCTGGCTGTGGCTCGGGGAGAGGCCTGCAGGGCCGGCCCTCTGGGGAAGCAGAGAGAGGGAGCAGGGGTCCCCCCTGGCACTCACCGCCAGAACGGGCAGACGGAGACGCCTCAGCCTCCCTGGCAGGCAGCAAGTGCAGCGCACAAAGCTAGGTGACACGGAGTCCCCGGGGCCCTGGCGAGGGCAGGGAGGATGGGCGGGCTGGGGCCACCAAACTCCAAGGCCATCAGCAGGTCCTGCTACTTCTGCCCCCAAATACACCGCCAAACCCGGGGCTCCTGGTCCACTGCTCACCCACCACCCGGCGCCCGGCCCAGGCTCTCCCTGCCTCTACCCTGGCCCCGCAGGACCTCAGACCTGTCACCTCCCAGGCTAAAGCCCCCAGCAGGCCGTGCCCCAAGCTCGGGGGAAGCCCCAGCTGCCTGACTGTGGCCTCCAGGCCCTGGGCTGGAGACCACCCCCGCCCCCTCGGCCCCCAGGGGCTCCTCCAGCCCCAAACCTCTACACCATGCTCCTCGCTCCTCGGCTGCAGACACGTCCCCTTGCCCCAGGCCCCGAAGGCCCCTTCCCAGAGGCCGTCCCGGCGTCCAGCCTACAACCTGCCCCACTTTCTCCTACCTCCTATGGCTCTCCAACAACACCTTGCTCATTATCTGCCCCTGAGAATCATCTCCCCCAGACTCTAAGGAGAGAGACGGAGAGACAGAGAGAGAAGTACACAGAGACAGAGACAGAGACAGCAGGCGCTCGCCCGACCACACCCCGCTGGCCCCAGCTGAGGCGGGCTCAGTGCAAGTGCTCAGCACGCGGGGTCGGTGCAGGAACGTGGACAGGCGCCCCTCCGTGCAGGGCCCGCAGGCAGCTCGTCAGTGAATTGCGGCTCTGACCAAGTGCTGAACCTGGGCATCAGCCGTACGTTTAAGGGGACATCACTTTTCACTCCCGTTTGTCTTCTTACGTCACACCCGTCCTTCCCACGGAACCTCAAACTAAGAAAGGCGTCCCTTCCTGTCTGAGCATCCCTGCCCGTCCCACGGCCACACTCAGCCACGCACACATACCTAGCTGCGACCACCAGGAGCAGCTCCGGGTGCCGCAGGGGGAGGCAGGCCTGCATGGGGCCGGGAAGGGGCTTCCTCTGGGCAAGGACATGCGCCTCCCAAGCTCACCCCCAGACTTCGGCAGCAGGTCTCCAGCTGCAGAAACACCAGTCAGATGGGTATTCCAGGGCCCCACCCTGAGGGGCTCCATTTTGGGGACCCAGGCATCTGCATCTTTAACCAGCATCCGGGGAGGACTCACCATGAGGTGCACCCCTGGGGGGCGCAGAGCATCACACAGACTGACCTCGCCCACCACGTGGGGCCCCTTCAGCTGCCCACCTGAGGATGGCCATCAGCCTCCACTAGTGGCTTCCACTCAGGTCCTTCATGGGCAAAACAAGGGTCCAGAAAGCCGCCTAGAGGGTACTGTGGGACTTGAACCAGGAAGCCACGCACTGTGGGATTCCAGCTTCCCTGGGAAACTCTCAAGAGCTGGTTGCACCGAACCCAGGTCCCCCAAAGCCGCGAGTCACGAGTGACAGAGCAGCAGACCTGGTCCCTGCAGGCATCAGGGAGCACCTGCCAGCTCAGCAGGAGCTCGGGGCATGAGGAAGAGGAAATGCTGATGTTCGCCAAAGACGGTGCTGTGCAGAGACTCAGCCCCTCATCCGGACCCCTGGGGCCCCATGGGCCCCAGTCCTCTTCCCTCCAGGGCAGGGACATCACCCATCAGCTGCATTTTGGCCAAGGATTACAGAGGCGACACAAAAAGGAACTCCAAAACCACCTTCTGTAAATTCTATCCAATTTCCCCAACGAGCTGCATTTTAAATTTGGACCCATGTTCGCAATGGAAAGGAGGCTCTCTGAAAAATGGAAATTGCTTTAGCAAATGCCACAAATCATTTAAAAAATCATGTGTGTGTAGGGGGAAGAGACCTCTGATGAAATGCTTCCAGGAGGTTATAACGAAGTCATGAGGTGCAAGTTCACGGTCGGCAGCGTAGGTTTTTCAAGGAAGATGGAGGTGCCTGGAAAGAACACGCCTTCTGGAACGTGCCGGGAGCACACGGCATGTGTCCAGCCGGCCTCGCGTGGGTGTGAGAACTACGAGACGGGTCTGTGGGCTGACTCTGGTGGAATTGCTGACTCCCAGTCAGCGTGCATTCGCCCTTCCTGGGCTGCAGCCTGAGAAGGGCATTGTGTGTGTCCCCATTCTGACAGAAGCTGGCCTGCCCCAAGGCTCCGTGGGCTGGGGCCCCTAAACCTGCTTCACCTCAAGGAATTTCCCCAAGTATTTGTGACTCAGGAGGGACAGAGAGGGCCCCGGTGCTGGCAGCTGGGCCTGGGATGGGGTCTGCAGCCCAACAGGCCCTCCCCGCCTGCAGTGCCCCGGGGCCCAGGACCCGCAGAGCTCAGGCTGGGGGCGGGCGAGCGGTACAGCTCCGAGCCCTCGGCCCAAGCTCCCTTGAGGGAGACTCAACTCCACGCCTCACTGACTTCTCGGTGTGACTCACGGGTTCCACCCAACGGTTTCCAGGTGGGGCCATGGGCCACATCTGCCGACATTTTCAATTGTTACTGCTGATGGGGGATGGGACGCTGCTCAACATCCTATGATGCACTGCAGCCCCTACAGCATAGAACGTTCTAGACCAGAGGTCGAATGCCGCAGGGGACCTCTGAGCTGTGCTGCTTCTTCAGGCTGGTGCTAGTGCTGGCAGAGCCCCGGGCAGGGCCTCCTGGCTCTCACACCACTGGTCACGTATCAACCACCAGCCCAGGTCGGGGATGAGCAGGTGGCTCAGAGGCCTGGGGAACTCACCCCAAGATACCAAGGGTCCTGGCTGGGACCTGACCCTGCGTGGTCCCCTCTGCTCTAGGCCGGCGGGAGTCAAAGGCCCTGAGGGACCTGAAGCTCATGCTTCATGCGCTCCGCCCAACCCTCCGCCGACCTTGTCTTCCAGGGCTTCCAGCCTCCCCTGGACCCCCTGCACTGTCCCGTGTCCTCTCTGTCCCCCTGTACCCCAGCTGGGAGCTGCCTCTGTGCTCAGCCTGCCCCCCGCCCCCACCTTCTCCTTCCAGGCCCGCCCAGACTCGGCCTGCTCTAGGCGGTCATCGGCCCACCTGACCCCGAGTCAGGGCTCCCCCTCATCCTGCCACATCACCTGGCAGGCGGCAGAGCACAGACCCTCCAGCTGTGTGGCCTGCATGGACAGCCCTGTTGGTCGGGCAGGATTGCAGCGCCCTCCTGTCCCCTGGCCCCTCCGCCCGCCCCTGCCCAGAGCTCCAAAACCAGTTCCCGTAAATTGAGGTCCCTGTGTGCCCCCAGAAGTGGCACCTGGTCTGTGGGGACAGCCCCTCCCACCTGCCAGGGC